TATACTATATATATAGTATAATATATACTATTAGTATAGTATAGTGAAAGAAATACACAATAATATAACTAGCTGTTCCTTCTTCTGACATTGGCTCAGCATTTTCTTCACTATTTACTGTTTGGACAACAAATATTTAACAATAGAAAAACTATCTTCTGTGTTACAGAAAACTAGAAGAAATGTGTACGCCTTCAAGTGCAGAAGGCATGTGATGGAATAATGGGATGATAATATCTTATTTCACTCTGATAAATAGGGCTACTAAGGCTTCTAGAAATAGTCTTCTGGTCTGTCCTGATTTTTTGACATTTAAATGGGTTACGGGGGATGATGAATGTAACATAAAGCTCAATTTGTTTTATTTTTATATTGAAAACTATTTCACACAAATGTTACAAGCAATTCATATTGGCCCTGAATGATGAAAACAGCTTATTAATTAAAACTGACCTTTCCATACATAAATGTATTCCACCTCTTGAGGCAAAACACCTTAGCTGAGGTAACAAATTGTATCAATGTATTAGTGACACCACAGTTAAAGGGTCTCTCAGGCTTTCTATTATATACCCATATTTTCAGAGGTATATAAATCCCAGATTAAAAAATATGTATATCCAGGTCAACACTCGGCATATAAATCCCCAGTCTTTCCAGGGAAGAAATTTGAAATTTACGCTCTTTGAAAAGTACTACAAAGAGAGTTTAGACCTATTCTTACTTTATCATAATCCAAAAAGTGAGATATTAAATAATGCATGCTATTATGTTTTAGCAAAATTATTATTTGCAACCTCAAGGTTATTTGTTTTGGACTGAATAATTACCCACAGACAGCAATCTGCAGCATTTAAACTGTTTTCTTTAAATGTAAAATTGCTACTTATGATATTTTCAGCTAGATGTTTTTTACCAGCATGCTGATACAATTTGCTTAAAGGCTGGTAACACCAGAGGCAAACTTAGACCTGGATGGGGCATCTGTGTATCTGTATGGCCATGATCGTGTCACTTGGTACAACTAATCCCTCTGCATCATGCAGCCTGTAATTCAGAACAGCAGCCACAGGAAAACCATTTCCTCAGTTTCAGGTCAGTGCCACTTTGATTAAGAGCCCCCATATACCTGTCGCAGTTAGTCAAGTTAATCATTTGTAATCCAACACATGGAATCAAGGATACAAAGAAAAATTCAGGGAAAACCTGCAGATCTCCACCAAGAATCATGAGCTGCCAGGCACCAAAGTGAAAGAATGGAAGGCAGGGAGTCAACTGAGTAGAGCAGTATGAAGACTGAACGCCTCCTGGTAAATGCTCACTTGTAAGTCTCAGCTAACAGTAATAGGCTTCTTGTAATTCTTAAAAGATAGCTGGGAAACACCACTTAGACAAAGATGAAGAAACTAGAAAAGATTACATTCATAATACTGCCACCATAAGACAGTGTAGGAAAAGCAGGCAGAAGACAGAGCTACAGCTCCCTTTCCGCCTAACTGACAATTTAGAAAATCTGCCAATGGAGTCTTTACATGATGCAGAAGAAAGCTGTCAAGTAACTGTGTCCTAGCAAAAAGTTTCCATCTGCTCCTCCTGGCCTAATGTAGCCATTCAGGAATGAGAATAAAATCATCAAATAGCCTATAATTCATAGTCATTAAATAATATTACTCTCTCCTTGCATGCTCTTTATTACACAGCACTTTGAATATTCAGAATGTACTGTTGTTATATTTTGCGTTATATTATCTTTAGTTAATCTCTAAACATGCAAAACTGCAGTCTTTGAACTTCATGTTATTATATAGCACAACAGCATTATGTCTCTTCTGGCATGTTCTCCTTGGGTGATAAAGAAAAGGCCAGACTACTGGCCGAAAAAGAGCCTGCATTGCTGTATTACTAGATTGTAAGACGTGGCTTCACGCTTGTCTCTTCAGCAGATGCAGCGAGTGTTGCTGAGAATACACTACCATCTTCAGATGGAGAGAACTATGTCACACTGTGCCATAAGTCCTCTGGCCAATAAAGAGATACTGTCCTCACAACTGGGGAGCCCTAAGTAGATTTTCCTGACTGAAGGCAAAGATATATGACAGAACCTTGTGGGGAAGGGAAATAGTACTTCAATCTGAAACAAACTGAAAGGGAAAGAAGAGAATTAACTGAAGTACATCCTGCACATTACACTTAAGGAGACCAGATTCTCCTTTGAAAAAAGGTTAGGTAAGACAAGCAAAGGCAAAAGTAACTTAGCAAAAAAATTTTTGCAGACTGTAGGTCTTATTTTGTCAATTATTTTTCTTATAGGTAAGACAGCTATTTTATTCTAATACTTCACAGCTTAAACTCCTGGAGTCTCCAGCAAATCCCTAGGATTTACTTTTACCACAGTATTAAACTTTAATGGTAATTTTCTATCAGGTATAAAATCTGTAGGTGTCTGAAATCTCTGTAAGTATATAAGGTTTTAAAATAAAACCTGGACAGAGCCTTCTGGTATCTGTATTCATCACTATTGTCATCGTGGATATATTTCACATCAAACTAGTGAAAATGAATTGAATCAGTTACAGGGGACTGGGATTCTTAGGAGGAAGAGTTTGGAAACTTCCAGAGCTTCTTGCTATTCTTAATTTCAAAGGGTAAAGCCAGCATTTAGGCAAAGATGAAAACATTATTTGCTACAATAAACACCATTCAAATTTAGGTACATTTTCTTTAAAAACTGCAGTTTCTAGAGGAAGGTACCTCTTCAGTAAGTAATAGTTAATCTTTGAATTGGGTAAGCAATGAGCCCAGCTTCCAGCTGTGACAAACTTCAGAATCCACAGAGTTAGCAGCCGGCAGCTACTCTCATGCTACAGTAGGCAGGAGAGCACAGCCGCATTAAAACAGACATAGAAAAATATAGAGTGAATTTGCCTGGAAAACCTGCATCGTTCTTATAATCAGACTTATTGCCTAACAAGGATAGCCAATTAGAAAGGTAAGGTAACGTGAAAAGATACAAGAACTGCAAGTGAACTTTGTAGAAGTCTGTCTTTAAATATTACAAATGTCATCAAGACGCCTCTCATTCTGTTATGAGATTCTTATTTTAGAACAAAATTAGGATACATTTTGCTACTGAAAATTTCTACGGTGTAAAGATCTAATAGCCAGATTCCCATCATCCAGGGACCAAGAAAAGTTTCCAGGTATCCTAACAAAGAGCTGCTTCAGCCTTGAGCAGTATTGTTATTGTAAACGCATACAAAGAAGTGAATCTGAACTCTCGGTACAGTTTGCAACAAACAAAAATTCATTCAGATGACCGACAGCAACTCCTATTAGCCCCTAAATATAACAAGTCTCTAGATGAACATTGTTTAACTCACGTTTTGGACAAGTAACACTTATGGAGGATATGCCAATAACAGTGTCTTCTTCACAAATGAGAAAACTGCAGCGTCATTTTAGCAAAATTCTTTTATATGATAGCATTTGTAGAAATCTATAGTCTTAGTAGCCGATTATGTTCTCTTGTTCTTCAATTTTTTTTTTAAATAAAGGCCTTCTATCATTGTCCCTAGGCTTCAGCAGCACTGATATTCAGGAAGACTTGTTATTTCTGCTATCAGCTCTGAATGCTCTATGGCCATTCTAAAAATCCTACAGGCAGCAGCAGGTAGGAACTTGGAATTCCAGCTCCACTGGCTTAAAAAATGCTAAGAAAAAGAAGAAAACACAACTGTCATTTTGATCTTCACAGCCATCTATCCTGCAGCAAGGATTGGGCATGACCCTGAGAATCTAAACATACTGCAGAGTGTTGTCAATCTGAAAGGTACTTAATTCATAGTCACCATGATCTGAAAAGAAATGGAAGAAATTATGTTAAGACTACAAATCCCAGGGTTTGGGAGAATACCCGGCATGGTACCAACCACACCTGCTGCCTCACATTCAGGTACTGTGCCCATACTGTCACCATTACCTATTTCAAAGGTCAAGCAGAACAAGGAAAATGTTGATTATCACAGACAGCTTTCTCATACAGCTTGGTCTAGTTCTAAAAAGTAGTAACGTTGCATTGTTATTTAGAAAACCAATTTGAGATAAAGCATCTTTAAAGTAATTGTCTCTTCAATTACTTTCCTCCTACAGTTTGAGCAACAGACTGCTTGTCACGAGTCTGTCTCCAAACTGTGAGAGGATATTCATGTTCAAGAAAACTTGCAGAATAGAAGACAAGCACTAGTTTAGCAGAGATTATCAGGTAAATTCTGAGCTTTGCAAAGGTTCTGAAAGTACTCAGGTGTGCTGGTTTTGGCTGGGATAGAGTTAATTTTCTTCACAGTAGCTAGTATGGGGCTATGTTCTGGATTTGTGCTGGAAACAGTGTTGATAACACCGGGATGTTTTCATTGTTGCTGAGCCATGCTTACACAGAGTCAAGGTCTTTTCTGCTTCTCACACCACCCCACCAGCGAGTGGGCTGGGGGTGCACAAGAAGGTGGGAGGGGACACAGCAGG